CGGCCTCCGATCGGTCCATATTTCCCGCCTTCCCTCCCAGCGCAAGAGAAAGGCCGGGGGCCTCGGCGCCCAGTGCCGCGGAGGCGACCATTTTTACCGCCCTCTCGCGGAGCCGGGCCAAGGAGACGCGCCGCGCCTCGGCCTCTCTCCCCGCCCCCCCCCCCCCCCTTGCCCCGCACGCCCGCCGGCTGGCCGGTTCACGGAGCAACCCCCCGCCCCGCCGGAGAATGGTGGGAAGTAACGAGCCCCTGCCAGCGAAGGGAAGATGCCACGAACCCCACGCGTATATTGGGGCAGTGATCACGTCGCGATCACACTCACGCATTGCGACACACGTGTCGGCGGCCATGTCGCCGCTTTTCACGGATCGGGCATCGGCGCGATCCGACCCGGCCTGAGCGCACGTCCCCCCGCTCGGGCGAGGAGACAACGCGCGCCGCGAGAGAGCGAGAGAGAGAGAGGCACAGAGAACGGGGGACAGGCATTGTCCGTGTGACTTTTGGTGGATTGTGGCGCGGGTCTAGGCAGTCTGGATGTAGATCGCACTGGCCTCTTTTTAGACACCCCCCTTGGCCCTCTTGAAGCCCGGCGCCCCCATTCGGCCATACTGTTCCCCCTCTCCCCCCCCTTTGTGCTTTCTGTCATCCTTCTTGCTGTGCTCTCGCCTACGGGGGACCCCTCGCCCAGGCCACCTCGCCGTCCCGCTTCTTTCCGTGCTTCCCTGCCCCGGTCCCTCTCCTACGCTCTCGCCACCCCGCCGCCGGGATAGCCTGCTTCCCCACACCCAGGGAGACATCGAGGAAGCAAGATGAGCATCACCGATCGTGCGTTCGCCGGTGTCCCGCACCTATTTCTTCGCACGTGCACGCGCGCACGCACGCGCGCACGCACATTCCTTGCATCTAACTCAGGACCAGAAATCTGCGCGGCTCTTACGGTGGTCTATGCCCCGACATCGTCGAACACTGACCGGCGTGCGGCCAACGAGGTGCGCCCCTCCCCCCTTCTTTGTTCGTGATGCTCTCCCCCTTTTGCCGGGGTGTCACATCCCCGTCTGACCATCCGCTGATGTTGCCGTCAACTTGTCGCCCGCTGTCCAGTTTCTGGACCAATACCAGCGCACGGCGCCCCTCGACCAGGCCCTAGCCTTCGCGGCCTTCTCCGGGCTGGCGTCCAATCTGCACCTCCGGCACTTCGGCTTGCACATTCTCGAGTCGGCCATTCGAAGTGACCGCTGGACGAGCCTGACCGATGCCGAGCGCGGAGCCCTACAAGCTGGCGTTCTGTCGCTGATGCGTTCGGTGTGTTACTCTTCTCACTTCTGCCCTCGCCCTCCTCCCCCCGTGCGCGCACTTTCTCCTTCCGATGCTTTCGTGGCCCGTATTAACCACCCTGGCCGATCGAACCAATGTCCAGGGAACCGCACCTCTTCTGGAGGAGCCTGCCTACATCCGGGAAAAGCTGGTCCAATGCGCGGCGGACCTGGCCCGGCGTCAATGGCCCCAGAGCTGGCCCGATCTTTTCCCCCAATTGGAGGAGCTTTTTGCCTTGGGCGTATGTGACCACCACCTGCTCGCTGCTTGCCCTGCCCTTTGATGTTGACTTTCTGCTGGCCATGTTCACCTGGGCTCCTGCTCACTTGGGCGCTTGTTAGCCCACCCAAGCCGAGCTGTCGCTCGGCGTCCTCCGCTGCATGGGCCAAGATGTTTTTGATACATACGAGGGGGCGTCCTCGGCCCTGGCCTCCATCGATGCCAGCCGTCGGCGCGATCTCATGCAGGGCATGGTGTGTTCCCGCCCAACCAGTCCCTTAAGCCGCCGCTGTCGCCGTCGCCGCTTGCCTCCACTAACCCCAGATGCACGGCGCAGATTGCCACCGCCGACCGGGTGATGAGCTCGCTTGGAGGCATGCTGAGCAATCATCTGTCCGCATATGCCGGGATCTTGGCTGCCGGTCCACTTGGCACAACCCCGGACCTCCGCGCCACCGCCGACACGCACTATCGCATGGCGCTTGCCCTGCTCGGGGTTCTGGCCGCCTATGCCCCCTGGGTGCCCTCGCCGCTGCTCTTCCGGGATCTGGCTGACTCGCGGCCCGCCGGGCCCGACAACAAGCACCCCCGGCCGGAAAACATTGTCGGGCTCATTTGCCGAGCCCTGGTCCTTGCGGCTGACATCTCCACGTCCACCATCCTCGCCTCGACACAGGAGACCAGCCTCAGCCGGGTGCGTTTGCCCTCCCCGCCTGTCGATGTGCCTCCCTTTCCCCCCTGTGCCTCATGCTGACGCAGCCTCACCTTCCCACCTGTCTTTCTCCATGCTCCTGGAAGGCCGCCACCGATGTTCTCCTCTTGCTGTCGACGCGCAAATTGTCGCCCAGCGTCACGCCCGACCAGGCGGCTCTCCTGCATCCGGGTGAGGACGCACGTCATGGCTTCCTCCGCTTGCTGGACGAGCTTCCACTTTTGCGCCAGTGTCTGGCCATCTATCGCGCCGGCGGAGCCACCGACCCCGATAGCCCGGGCTACCTGTTTGAGAAGCGCATCGCCATGGTATGTCATCCATCATGCGCCCACTTGGCTTTGCTTCCCTTCGTTGGCCCTGCTTTCGGGACCTCGTCCGGCGCTGTCTGCTGACACGGCCCCGTCCATTCGCCCGCAGGTCCTGTGCAATTTCGGCCTCAACCATCTCCTGGTCAAGTCGTCGGTTGATCTGCCCCCGGCGCCGGCCCCCTCGTCCAGCGCGTTGACCAGCTCGCGTATCGACGAGTTCCACCTTTTGGCCCTTGATCTGTTCGCGCACCCGAGCCGGCTGGTGTCGTCCATGCTTTCTCAGTATTGGCTGGCTGCGTTGCGAGCCCTGGCCCAGGCCCTCGGCGGCCAGGGCCCCGTTCTGTCGCCGTCGGTGGTCACGGTCATTGGCAGAATCACCCCCCTCCTGCCGGGCCTGGCTTGTGGCGCTGCTGACAAGGTTTTCAAGGTTCGGGCTCTTCCTTTCTTTTGCGCTCGAAGATGCTCCTTTTGGCCGACTCCCCCTCCCCCCCCCCTCCCCGCCCTCTCGCCCCTCCTCTCTTGCCGCGCCATTTGCCTCTCCGCTCCCTGCCCCGCTTTGTCGCCCCCCTGACAGGCTGTACGCATGCATTGTCCCACAGATTGGCGACCCGGATGCCAATGTCCCGGATGCCACCGGGGCTTTGGCCGCACCAAATCCCTTCAGCGGAAGCTGTCTCTTCCCTGTCCTGGTCCCGGGGACTGGCCTGGCGCCGACCACATTGCACCGGGACTGGTGCCTGGCAACCGCCTACTCAGATGCGGACTTCGACTCGACTTCCGAGTTCCAGAGCTTCTTCTCGGTCTACCGGCAGTCGGTGCACGATATCATCCGCACCCTGTCCCAGGTGACAGTGCGTCCTCTTTGTCCCCGTGTCCCTGGCCTCTTTTCTCGCTTCGCCTGTCCTGTTGGCGGCGCGCGCCCGGATGCTTTCTAACCCCCCCTGCCCGATCTAGCCCATGTCCACTATCCAGGTGTGTGGCGAAATCCTTGACCGCCTGGCCCGGACGAATCTTGCTGGTACTTCGAGCCCTGTATGCCGCTCCGACACGGTGATGATTCATTACTTACCCTCATCTCCCCCTCCTCCTCCTCCTGCTCCTTCCCTCCTTCCCTCCTTCTCTCTCTCTCTCTCTCTCTTTCTCCCTGGCCCGCGGGATATAGATCCCACCCTTGGCCTCTACACGCCGGATCCCATCATGTGGGAGGGGTATTCTTCCTTTTTGGAAACCTGTGTCTTGGGCCTGAGCCCGGCCATCTTCCAGGATGGCTCCTCCGCTGTCAAGGATGAGCCCGGGCAAATTATCCACCTGCCGATGACTCCCCTGAGTGAGTCGCACTTCGTCCAGCCGCCGGTTGGCGTTTCCTTGTCGGCTGACATCCGGGCCGGGTGCCGGTCTTTGTTGACTTCCCAGCACCAAGCGGCTCTCCGTCTCCAAACCCGCTGCCCTCACATTCTCACTCGTTTGTTGGGCCTGCACCCGCCCTTCCACCGTCTGCTGGCCCTGGATGCGGCGATGCTGCCGCCGGTGTTGAATTATGTGCGCCTTTTTGCTTTGCTTTCCCGCGCCCGCCCGCTTGTCCCCCTCCTGCCCTTCCCTTGTCCCACGCCGACATCACCATCTAACCGCGGCCTCGCGCCGTTGGCTCCGGGGGCGGGATAGTTCTTCGAAATGGTGACCTTTGCTCGGGGCGATGAGACCGGTGCCATTGCCACCGATGACTGGCGTGTGTCGGAGGATGTGTTGGCTGTCCGCCGAAAGGCCTGCAGCTCTCTCCTCCGCTTGGCCCTTGATATCCCCATGTCGTTGGTGGTGTGTGCCTTTCCTCGTTCCCCCGTGTCCTTCCCCTCCTCCGATCTCCAAAGTGCTCTTCCGGAAGCGGTCGTTCGCGGTGGGTCCTCATTAACTCTCCTTCCCTTTCTTCCCCCGCCCTGCTTCTTCGCTCTGCTCCTCCTCGATGTTTCAAACGGCAGCCCCTCTTTGGATCGCTGCTCGATCAGGTTGGTCGGCTTGTCAGCCAGCAGCTGGTCAATGATGCCGAGCAGACTCTCCTGACCGAGTCTATCATTGTCATCGGGTGTGTGCCTGCTCTTTGCTCCTGCCTCCGGGCTTGCATTTGTTTGGTCTCTTCAGTCACATTGACCTCCCCCTCCGCCTTGCCTCCTGGGTCGTGATCTTTCCTCCCGTCATCGGCCCGCTTCCTGGACAGCCTGCACCACCCCGATCGTGCGCAATTCGGCGCCCTGATTGGCTCGCTGCTGCAGGACCAGCTGGCAATCTGGACCAGCCCAACCACCGGCGCGCATCTCTCCTCGACCGAAAGCTTCTTCACATTCCTGGGCATTTCCTTCCTCAACGGTCTGGGTGTGTCCCTTTCCTCCTCGCCACTTGCCGCTGTCGTTTGTTTTTCTCCCCCCCCACCCCCCCTTTACTGACCACTTTGGATCAGTTGCAACCGGAACGGCACAATCCGCCGAGACAGATCCCTCCATCCAGCGTTCTTGGCAGAAGCTTGTCGCCGAGCGTCGGCGGGTGTTCCTCTCTCTGTCGCTATTGACGTCCATTCTTCGCCGAGTCAATGAGTCCTCCTTCGTCAGGGTACCTGCCTTTGTTCCTTCTTTGGCAGGCCTTGCGCCCTGCTTTTCCCCCTCTCCTGTTGCTTTCTGACACAAGTCGTGACCCGCCTCCGCCCCCGTCAACAAGAACGCTCCTCCCGGATCCGCTCACCCACTGGCGTCCTGGATTCCAGCTATGATTCCGCCGCTCTTCTCCCTGGTCCGGTTCGTGGATCCCCTGGTTTCTTGCATCACGAATGTCAACACATCCGTGCACACACACACACACACACACACACACACACACACACACACACACACACGTGCCATCCCCCCCGTGCATGCTTTTCTCCGCTGACATGGCCTGCAGGTGTCTCCACGCCATCCGTGATCCGGCTTCCTGGGAGGCGATCGCACCGGCTATCCGCGATCCGATCCTCCAGCTGAGCGAACTTGAAAAATCTCAATTGATGGGTTTGTCCAAAGCCTTCCTTCCTCTTCCAGCGCCCCTTCAATGCGCCCAATGTGTCCCCTGACATCGGCCTCCGCCCCCCTCCTTTACTTCGCTTCTCTTTTGGCCCGCTCACACTCAGGCCACTCGACCGTGTCCGAGTACAAGGATGATGATTACCAGGGCCGCCGGTATCTTTTCGAGAATCTGGTCGACTCGGTCCGACTGCTGACCTCTCACAAGCCGCTACTGTGGTACGCCCGGCCCGTGTCGTTTCTCACCCCACTTGCGACTCGCCCTGCCCGATGCTGACTCGCGGCACCTGCGCAGCTACAACTTCCTGGCGCAGCTCGTTGGCACCGGATCCATATTCTATGACACGCCGATGCTGGTGCAAGGGATGCATGAATACATCTTCCGGCCGGACCTGCTCCAGCATCTGGATGGACGCTTCCTCCGGCATATGATCCTGCTCTTTGCGCGGGGCTTCCTCCAGCAGGCGCCATCCAGTGAGCAATTGCGCCAGGTGGCCCTCCCCTCCCTGGGCCCGTTCGTCACCTTCATCGGGGGGCGAATCACCAGCGACTGGCAGCGCCTAAGCCCGGCTCTGCCCTCGGTTACTGAGGGGTGCGTCGGCTGCCCATCCACTGCCGCCCGGCCAGCTTTCTTGTGGCCCTTCGGCCGGCTCGCCCCCAGCCCCCGTCCCCCTCCCGTCTTCCCTCGCCCCCAGCCCCCGTCCCCCCCCCCGCTAACCTTTGCCTCTTGCCGGATGCAGCGACGACATGAGCTTCCTGGATGATGCCGGTCAGGGGGACTTCCCGGAAGACGTGGATCTTGGGAATCTGTCTGACACGGTGATCGAGCTCAAAATCGTCGTCAATTTGAGCCGGGCCTTTGTCGAGTGGATGGCCTCACTCATCGGACCGGGCGCTGTTTCTGCGCCGGAGTCGGCCCCTGCGCCCCATGGTATGACATGGCACCGTCTTGTTGTCTCGCCTCAGCCCCTTCCTCCATCGCCATGCCTGCTTGTAGTTCCCTACTAACGGTTGCCCCTCGCCCCCCCCCCCCCGGTCTCTTCCCCGCTGGCTTGGGGCAATGTTCAGCCCCGGCTTCCCCGGCCGAGATGGCACGCATGCTGCTGTCGGATCCGGCCGCCTCGAGGGCGGTGGTCACTTGCCTGATTGCCGGGTGTGCCGAGTGGCGAGATGGCCGCTGCTCAAAGGTGTGCCTCAATTCCCTGGAGGCCTTGGTCTCATGGTGTCAGGCGCACCGACCGCCCTATTGGCCTGGCATCGCTCAGGGGCTCATCCAAGCGGCGCTCAGCACCCTTCATAACCCCTTCCTGGTGCCAAACCAAACGGACGCCGTGGCCTTGCTGACGAGCGTCTACGCGGCCGGCGTCGCCGCCGGGCCTGATGACGGCTTGCTGTTGGATACTTGCCGTCAGACGGTGTCCGCCGCGGCGATGGCCGCCGGGGTGTCCCTCTCTCTGCCTGACCTGGAGGAGGCCCTCCGCCGGGCGGCTGCCTCGAAGCCCCGGCAGCGCACCGCCGTTCGGCAATTCTTCGCCCCCATGGTCGGGCGCGAGATGAGTGAGATGTTCCGCGCGAATGCCAAGATCACTGCCCTGCCGGAGAAGCTTTTCATTCGAACCGCACGTCTGGCCGCTCGCGAGCTGTCGGACCACCTGCTCGAGCAGGCTGATCAGCAGGATGCCGGTCAAAGCATGGCCAGCCTATTTGGCTAGCCGCCACATGGAGCGTCACCCTCTTCGCCCATGCCTCTCGATGTCGCTTTCTCTCTCTCTCTCTCTCCCCCTTTCCCCCGCCTCCCTCCCCCTCCCCTTGTAAGTGTACCTCCCTTCTGCTCATGGGGCTGGCCTGTCGCCTCCTGCTGGGTCCTCCCGTTACGGAGCGAAGGAGGATTGCACAAGACACGTGTACATTTGACACATTTCTAGAAACCCCTTTCGAGGGTGGCACAGCAGCATCATGACGATCCCTTTGGCGGGCCGACGCGCATGGCTATCCCACCGCTGAGGGCGAGGCCGTGCGCGATTTGGGTGAACTCCTGGAAACGTTCCCGATGAAGGCGGCTATGACGGACGTGCTCCACCAGCCTCGGCCAAACCTCCTCGGGCGCCTCAAAGGTGTCCAGATCCTCGGGCAGCTCCTGGACAAAGGATGTCCGACAAAGCCAACATATGGCCCGTTGGGCATCGATAAAGTCGAAGGGGTCCGGTGGCAGGGCCTTTGGCAACAGAGGAGGCAGATGAGTTGAGCAGTCAGGAGAGGGGCACCAAGAGGATGAGAGGGTGAGCGGGGCGGGAAGAGCAGAGGGCCACCAGAGAGGAGTCAAAAGTCAACGCACGGAATAGCTGGCACAAGGCTCGGAAAGGCGTTCGAGCTCCTCCAAGTCTTCGGGCTCCGGCTCGGACTCCGGCTCGGGCTCGGGCTCGGGTTCGGGCTCCAAGTCGGGCCTAGGGGCAAGTTCGTGGCTGGCAGCCCCTTCAGTCAGCAGTGGCAGATTGGACTCCAAGTCCGCGCAAAGGAGGGCAAAGTCGGCCTCGAAATCGTGGGCACCCCCGGCAGCCTGGCCGTCGGTCGCAGCCGAGGCCGTGTCCTCGGGCAAGACCGACCCCTGGGCTGGGGTATTGGTGAAGCCGGGCGCCGGATCGGCCGCGATAGCCGCTGCCCCCGGGTCGGCGGCCATGACACTGGAGGTCAGTGGACGGAAGGGCTCCATCACCAGCGATGGGTCCCAGTATTGGCCGCCTTCCGAGCAAAAGGCAAATCTATGCTCGAGCAGCCGGGGCGAGGTTGTGCAGAGAGTCAGCAAAGTGGCCCTGACCGGCGGGCGGGGGGAGACAAAGAAGGAGCGAGTTGGAAGGAGGACGGCAATCGGCAGGACGCACTGGGGATTGGCAAAGTAAAGGCTGACAGACTTCCCGCTGATATCCAGGCTATGTGTCTGAGAAATGAGTCCCGAGGCATGCTAGAAGGGCAGGGGGAGTCCATCATCAGAGTCAGTGGAGGCAGGCAGAGCGCGATGGGTGAGTGAGGAGGAAGAGCCGGAAAAGAGCAGAAAAAAAGCCCCCAACAAAACCCAGCGCACATCAACCGAGGGGAACTCCACAACGGCAAAGCCAGCTGATGTCCGAGTGGTAATGTCGAGCGCCAGGAAAACCGCCTTGACTGGGATGTTGAAGGGGCGCAGGGACTCGCAGATCTGGGCGACAGTTGAGACGGGGTCAGATTCGCACGCCAAAGGGCCAGCATGTTGCCCCAGGGTCGGGGCTTTTTCTTTCCCTCTCGAGCATGCCCGACCCTGCCGCGAGGACCGAGCTGGCAAAGTACCTGTTCCTGGGTTGACAAAACATCCAGGCCCATGAGCAGGACAAAGGAGGTGGGCTCGGGCCAGGCGTCGCGAGACCCGTCGTTGATGAGGACATCCGCGCCGCCGTGGGCGCCTCGGTCATCGAGAGCCAGCATGGCCTCCTGGTTGGAGGCGGCTCGCTCGATGTTGCTTTGCTGCAGAGTTGTAAGGCAGTTGACGCAAGCTTGGGCCCAGCGGATGTTTTGGGTGCTACACTGTGGGAGATGGAGCCAGTGGGTGAGCAGTCAGTCATGGCTTGGATGGTGTGCTTGTGGTCCTGCCGCCCCACCGGTCACGGCCCGGGGAGCCTGTCACGCACCCGGAAGCAGCGCCACGGTTCGGAGGGGAAGTCCTCCGAGGACATGTGGTACAGCTTGGAGTCGGGCGAGATGGCGTCAATTTGGCGGAAAACCCAGTCGGGGCCGAGGGCCCCCGAATCGGCCCAGGCATCATACAAATCCTGGGCCTGGTGGACAGAGCGCATGTGCAAGACAGCTCGTCCGGTAGGGACACCTGAATGCGCGTTAGTGTGCCAGGAAGCATGGGTCGAGGGGGGGGGGGGGGGTCGGTTCCGGGCAAAATGGCGGCAGCATACCAACAAGCGTGCGCTCAACGATCAGGTCCACCCAATCAGACACGCCCAGGGAGTTCAAATGATAGGCAACCTGTGTGTGTGTGTGTGTGTGCGTAGGTGAGAAAACAGCAAACATATTGGCCGGTGGGCGATGGGCAGTCCTGACGAACCTGTTCCTCCTCCCACATGGCGGGCAGCCCGATCAGGAGCATGCTCCGCGAATTCAAGCTCTTGAACTGAACCCGCGGGATGGGGGCCCATCAAGGGAAAGGCGAGATGGTCAGCGAGCGGCCCACGGCCAGTGACGGGGCGCATGGCAAATCATGTACCAGTGGCGGCGGAGTAGGTGACCGGTAGCGATGGTATCGCCGAGACGGGCCCCGATACCGGCGGCCGCGCTCGGGCGATGGCGACCGCGATGGCGACCGTGAATAGTCCCGACGTCTGTACCGGCGTGGCGACCAGGACCTGGACCGGGACCGGGAGCGCGAGCGGGACCAAGAACGCGAGCGACACCGGGACCGGGACCGGGACCGAGACCGGGACCGACGCCGAGAGGGAGACCAGGATCTTGACCGGGAACGGTTGCGAGAGCGCGAGCGCGAGCGCGAGCGAGACCACGATCGGTCACGGCGGTCCGGCGACGGCGATTCTCCCCGCCGCCCACGGGAGCCGCCGTCCCTGCGGCGCCCGAGCCGGCGCGGGGAGTCATGCTCCGGCAGGGGCCGATACTTGTCGCGGAGATCGACGGGGTATGGCATCCCGAAATGTGGACTCGGTGAGGCGAATGGCTGACCGTCAAGGGGGCGATTAGGGGGTTGGCGAAGAAAGGCACAGGTGGTCGGGGGAGGGAGGGGGACGAATGTGGGGAGGGCGGTAATTGGGGTGGTTCCTGTGATGCGCCCTCGACGCCGTGGGCCCTGATGAGGGGGTGGCTTCGCATCTGCTCCTCTGAACATGGGCTGCCGTGCTAGTCGCCTTGCAGGCTGTGCGGCCCCCCCCCCCCCCCCCCCCCCCCCCCCCCCCCCCCCCCCCCCCCCCCCCCCCCCCCCCCCCCCCCCCCCCCCCCGTGTCCCGCCCCCCCCCCACGCACTCGCACACGAACATGCAGACACGCGGCCGCACAGAGGGTCCTATCCAATTCGGTGCGCGCCGAAAGGCCAGAGGGGTCGGACGCAGTTCGGGGGTTGCTGTGTTCGATTGGCGCCTCTTTCGTTGGCATGTGTGGCCGTGCATGTGGGCTAAATGCCCGCTATTCGGGCGATCTTTCTCTCATCAATCATGGCACCCATTGAGGAGGGCCTATGCTCCATGTGTGTGTGTCCTCTCTCTCTCTCTCTCTCTCTCTCTCTCTCTCTCTCTCTCTCTCTCACACACACACACACACACTTCCTTTCCTCTTCCCCCCACCCCCTTTCCTTTTTCCCGCACCATCCCTCTCATGTCCTCTTCTATCTCCGTCCCCACCAGCCCCATCAGTTCCGGTGCAGGACCAAAGCGGCGCTCGAGTATCTATTGCAAGCCCTGCTCAGGACACATTTCCCTGGACTTTCTTTGTTGATCTTCCTTCTCCTCCGGTGCCTTCCAATGTCTGTCGACGATGGAATGCGACCATGCTTCCTTTTGGTGAAGTTTACGGGCACACACATCTGGAGAGAAGGAAGAGGTCTATTGCGGTGGGGCCATATGACGAGGGATTCCCTTGAGGCCAGTGCATGTCGCTTGCATTGCACCCTTCTCGCCTGCCTAACACACCTAATGCATGCTCGCGGGCACACGGCCGCTCTCCTCCTTCCTCCCCCCCGCTACGCCCTGGCTTTTCTCAGACTCCTCCTCTTGCATCGCTTTCTATAGTGGTAGATCTACACAAAAATTCTGTTGGCTATCATGAGATCATCATGAGGCTCTTCGCGCTGTTCCTCGTGGTGTGATGGCGTGCGCTTCTGACGGCATCCGGCACAATGTCCCGCGTGGCCGACTGCGTGCCCTGGGAATGGGGCAATCACCCGCATAGGTTCGCATTTTGTCATGCCAGGGGGGAGGGGGGGGTGGGGGGGTGGGAGGGGCGGCGCCGGCAATCAATCTATGGGGGGTCCCCCCCTCTGGAAAATCGGGATGTGAGGCGTCTCCCCTCCTCCACCCCCCCCCCCCCGGTCTTCCTCACCCCTACCGGCGTGTGCAACATGCCACCCGAGGGACATAGCAAGACGGTGCGCGCGCGAAAGAAAGAGCCGGCGGGAGGATGGTACGCGGGTTTGACGCCAGGTAAACTGGGACCATAATATCGCCCCGTTTCCCGGGACACCCCCTCGCATCGCGGGGAGGCACACAACTAGCTGGTGACCCTCGTCCGGTCGAAGGCGACCAAGAAGACGGCGATGGCCGAGATAACGACCAGGAAGCCGCTGACGCCGATCCAGTTGTAGGCGAAGTTCTTCACGGCATTCGGGTAGAACATCTCCAGGAACTGG